GGTTTATGGGGGTTTGGGGTTTAGGGTTTGGGGCTTGTGAGGGTTTAGGGCTTAGGGTTAGGGTTTGTGAGGGTTTAGGGCTTAGGGTTAGGGGCTGGTGAAGGTTTAGGTTTATGGGCTTGAGGATTTGTGGTTGAGGGCTTATGAGGGTTTAGGGCTAATGAGGGCTTAGGGTATAGAAGGGCTTAGGGTTTAGGGCAGCTTCAAAAAGTAGCACACGGTTGTAATCCCCATCCCTTAATGCTCAGCAGTCCCAATGTGGTCTGGCATAATATATGGGATATTTAGTGTTGGGAGGCAATGTGGTCTGCCATTATATATATGTATATATGGGGAATATCTAATGCTGGGGAGCAATGTGGTCTGCCATAACATACGGGTACTATTTAATGTTGGGGGGGGGTGGAGGGCCTGGAGGGCCATGGGGGAGGGGCTTAGCTGAAGATCTCATGAATTTTTCACAGGGATGAAAAATCCGCTGCATTCTCCCTTCAAGGGCAAACATAATCCAGAGAATTCTTGAGCTCGTCTTGTTTCTATCTGTGGGTTTCTCAAGCATGGGCATTGTTGAATGAGGTCCTTGAAAAGGTCCTTTGGATGACATACTGGGCCCCACATCGGATAAGTTGCAATAGCTCTAGCTTGATGGTAGGCACGTGTACAGGAACGTTAACCTTCTTTCATTCCGATTTGAAGCTTCAACGCCAGCGAGATCTAGAAAGAGGTCATCGGGAAGGCTTGTGTGAAGTTCATGCAGCGGGACACCTGACCATCAGATTCAGCAGCAACATTTCCACTGCCAGGTTGGGCAGCGTCTTCAAAAAGGGCCGTCATGGAGGCATGAATAGGATACAGCTCCCATACCTACTGGATGGACTGAAATTCTGGTATCGATCCGTGAAAAGCTTCTTAAAATCCAGATCAGGGACTGCCCTGGGGTGGGGGCAGAAATCAAGATACACCAATAAACCGTCCACAAAGAAAGAGTTATAGGGATAATGGAAAATAAAATGGAAACTACTACATTGTAATAGGGTGTAAATTGGGGTTATATTGGGATAATGGAAAAGAAAATGGAAACTACTAGTGAAGCCCCTGAGATTGAACCAGGCCTTTCAGTGCCTCTCGATGCCCTGCTACTGGGTTGCAACTGAGTTTCTGCTGCCAGGAAACAATGTTTTGCAATGTATCCGTGTCACATAACTTGTAAAGCCCGTAAGTAAAAAAAATCAGTTGCCATTTCATGTTCAAGCTGATTCTCCATTATGGTAGGTCAGCTCAAAACCCTATTCAACCCCTACTGGTAGAACCCCTAAAGTTTCGTTCCCAAACGGCAACCCAGGCTAACTGTGGCTGCTGCTGCCAAGACTGACATTGGCCAGGTGGCCGGGGAAGTTTCCCTGAGCTCCCAATCCCTGAGCCCCACCCAAAGGCTCCTTGGGGTATTAGTCTTGGTCCAGAACCCAAATTGCGAGAAGACTATATCTTCTAGCCCTTATAGATAGCATCAGTGTTTCCCAACATGCCTGCGTACTTCATTTTTCTGCGGAGGGGATGCAGCACTTTGATCCCAGAGAGTTGCGAGGCGGCCCTGAGTGGTGCCACGTCCAGCAAGCGACGCCTCAGTGCTCAAGCGCTCATGTACCTGTAGCCTTTTTAGGAATTGATTTTTTCACTTATATTATAGCTTCAGGAATTATTGAAAATAATGTCTTTGACGACAGGCACTCTTTTTCCTAGAATATGTGAGGTAAGAATTTGTCTTGGATGTTTGGCGACCGTATACAGGGTTCCGTAGGAATATTGGCTTCACTCTACCCTAGTCAAAACCCCTTAAAGGGGGTTTTATAGGGGACTACTATAGGGCTTATAAAGGGGATATTAGGAGTTTAGACTATAGCTCCTTTATTGGCATTGGTGCCCACTGAGGAAGATCATACATCAGACACAGGATCACGTAACATTGCGCCCCACAGGCCCCTTAAACCCCATAAGACCCATAAACACGGCTAAACCCTAAACCCTACATAAACCCTAAACCTTAAATAGCACTTTCCACTTCATGTTCCATTATCCCAATGTAACCCCTATATAACCCTAATCTATACCCCAATATACACTCTATAATCCCTATAGTTTCCATGTTCTTTTCCATTATCCAAATGTAACCCCAATATAACCCCTAGATAACCCCAATATCACAGCAGCCTGAAAGGCACCTTTGCAGTATCCATGTTGGTTTGAGTTCTCCAACTACAGACCCGGATCCTACACGGTATATAGCAAGTTTAAAGGACTCATGTCTGGAGTTACGTGCAGAGTTTGGTGTTTTGCATTTTGGCCTTATACAACTTCTTTTAGATATTTATTCTGAGCTTGAGGGTTTCGGGTTTAGCAGTTGTTTGTTATGACCTCAAGACACACCGGAAGTTTGAGTTCCCTAGTAGGGTAGTGGACCTGCGAAGCTAAAACAGCTTCCGTACCCCCCCCACCTTCCTAAAACAGGATCGTTTGTAGTCATGTAGTAGGCATAGGGTCTTCCTTAGAAGCCCTCTTAATACGGGCCACTAGTGGATGTCAAGTGGCAGAGTTCCTCTGTCGGTCTAGGATTAAGGGGTTGGGCTGACTTTAGGGTTTGGGGGGGTGAGTTGAGAGTCTGCCTGGGTGATGTTGACACGAAGTGAGGTATATAGTGATGGTGGATGGCTGGCACAACCCGTCGAGCAAGTGGCACAGCTATTTGCAACTAGGTGCCTCATTAGGACGTTTTAGAACATGCAGGCGACCTGTCAAATCGCGCAAAGTGGTTAGAAATAAGGTTGTCCTACACCTTAAGGTCTTGTATCCTTGGAGTTTGAGGTCTTCAATCCTTGGAGTTTGCCAGAAAAGCTAATAAACTTAGCTTCAATTTCATTCTCTATTCGAGTCTCCATTACCTGCAAGAGTTAATTCTTCCCCCATCCTCAGGAAATTGATTCCAGCTACGCATGACGACCCTCTGTGGTGGACCGACAGTGAGCAAGAGGCTGGTTTTGGTGCAGGGCTACAGCAATCCCCTCCTTCAGTGAGTTTTTAAAAAACCTACCCACTCGCGTTAGTAAAAATCTTCCTTATCATAGACTAGTGCTATACTGGATGGTATTTAGGATGGTGGGGAGGGGATTACATCAGAAGCCTAGATTTCCCGAATGTGGCTCTGGGGCAATGACTTTAGTCATTGGATTGCATAGTAGGGTTTAAGGGTCTGGGGGTTCCGGGCTTCGTGCCCAGTCTTGGTGTGATTCGCGTGGCTTCATGACAGGCCGTCCCGAATTCCGCAGCTAAAGATCACCGGTGTGCTTGAGAAGGTTCAGATCACACCGCCCTTGACGCGCCACCCACCCCTAAACCCTAAACCCTAAACCCACCTCTTACTCAAAACCTTAAACCGTGTAGGCGCCAGATACCCAGAGTCAAGGCCCAGACTTTTAATGGTGCAAGCACTGCCCCTGTAGTCTCCTTATGAATCAGTTTTCTCTCTCAGTATAGTACAACCCTCGGGAATTATTAAGATTGAAATACAAGTTGTTGTCAAGAATAAGGCTCAGGGAGCTACAGATACAGTGCGTGAGCCGTTCAGGAAGAAGGCCCTACACCCTGATCCGCATGAAGCCTACAGCCCAGAACCGTAATATGGTGGCCTGAATTCTTACCAATATTATGGCCCTAGATTCTTGCGCAAGTATAGTAAAGGGTACCTCAAATGGACCCCGAGATGGTAGAGAAAACCATTTGGGGGTTTCTCAAAACCAGGGGTAACTTCTTGGGGATCCTCATAATAAGGACTGTAGTATATTGGGGTGTATATCGGGGTACGTTAATTTTGGGAAACTACCATTTAGGCCTCTATTTTACCCCTCAGCCCAAAGAAAGGCCCAAGAACTTTTCCACAGGAACGGCTGCAGGGAACGCAGCTGCTGTACGAGGCGCGGCGGCACCTGGCTCAGCTGCGAGAGGCGGATGTTTTTCAAAAGGGGGTAATCTTGGGTACTGCCCCCACCCAGTAACAGTCTATATTAGGGGTCCTATTAAGGGCTATATATAACGCTAGTATAGTTAAGGGCAATCACATCCTCGTAACCATACTCGTCCCCCACCCCCGTCAAATATACACACCCCCGTGTTTATGATGTTAGTATTATATTGGAGGGGTTTATGATCGTTGGGGATGGGGGGGTGGGTATTCCATATGGTAGTATAGGTTGTACCTGGACCGCTAACGTATTTAGAATAACGGAGGTCCAGGTGGGGTTTTTAGTGTTGCGGAGGGTTTCAGGGTATCTCCAGCGAAGCTGCGGCCAAGCTTCTGGGCTTGCTTTAAGGGCAGTTGCAGGTTAGGTGGAACCCCCACCCAGCAATAGTGACTATAAGGAATGATCGTGGTTATATTAGGGACCTCTGGTATTCCTATTATACCACCATTACGGAGTGGGGAAACCTCCTCAGTTTCAGGGTTTTGTGTTTTGTGGCCGTCAGTTTTGGGGGCTTCAGGATGATTCAGGGACTGCCATAGCATCTCAGGTAATCCCTCTATCTGTATGCCATATATATCTCTTTAGGGTTTAGGGTTTAGGCTCGGGCTATCATCAGCACAGTCAGCCGGAGCCCGGAGTGGGGCGGTGCGAGAAGCCTCCTGCAAAAAAGGGTTTAGGGTTTCCTGCTCCCAAGATCTAGGAATCTAGGACACCCAACCCTAAACCCTAAACTCTTAACTCCTACACTCCTAAACCCTAAACCCTAAATCCTAAACCCTTAACTCCTAAACTCCTAAACCCTAAACCCTAAATCCTAAACCCTAAACCCTAAATCCTAAACCCCTCAAAACCTAAATCCTAAACCTAACCTTGGGGAGATCCCCCCAGGTGTACAACTCCATCTTTCCGGCTCTGTCTCTCAAGCTGCCTAGCGCCTTCCCAGCAGAGCGCTACACCTTCCGAGCCTTCCTCTGGGCAAGGTTGGGGGGGTGAGTTTGCCTTTCGCAGCATTTGGGGAGGATTTAGGGTGTAAGGTAGGAGGCCCATGATGAATAAAACCCCCTCCGTTTAAGGGCCTTAATTAGAATCCTTAGTAGAATCCCTATTAAGGGAAGGGGGGCTGTTAATCAGGCAGGGGTTTACATTAGGGTCTTAGGCTTACATATAGGTGCAGGGCGACGTGCTTCCGGTGTTGTTTTTTGTTTTAAGGCAATTGCCTGCAATCTCCGCCTGAAAGCAGGCAGTATGGAAGTTCTGAACAGCAGTAACCTAAACCCTAAAGCATACTCAAACACCAACCCGTTCCAAAAGGCATGCCCAAAATATGGAGGCTCCCTCTATGGAACCTCAGACCCGTGCTCCTCTTAAGCCTATGAGCTATAGTCGGGGGTTATGTAGGAGATCATATAGGGGACTACTATAGGCAGGGGTTATTGAGGGTGATACTAGCAGTTGAGCCTGTAGCTCCTCTGGAGTACAAAGGAGTTTGTGAGGTTCATTCTACTGCTTGCTTTGAAGCACGTCGGAGGCCTTTCCAGTGCCCTGCCTATGCAGCAATGGTGTTCAACAAGCATTCATCGGGATTTCCAAAATAAGTAAAAGTTGTTCAAAGCTTTAAAAGTAGTCGAAACGGCCAATAATCCACATACTTTGATGGCTCAGGTAAATACATAAATCCTGCGAAGCCTCCTGTATCCGCCAGACCTGGGCAACCTGTCCGGTATCCTCAAAACACGCTGTATCTGCCAGACCTGGGCAACCTGTCCGGTATCCTCAAAACACGGAGCCCAAAACTCTTCGAAACCTTTACGCTAGGTCAAGCCGTCACCTATGCTTGATATACTTGGGAACATGAGTAGGGGAGCCCAATATAGACCCCAGAATACTGTAGACCTTATTACAGGGGCTCCCAAAACCTTACCCCGGTTTTGGGGAAACCCCATACGAAGACTGCAGCATAATTTCATTATCCTTGGTGGTCAACACTAGTGGGCGGGGGCCTCACCACCCTAAACCCTAAAACCTAAACGCTTGGATAGGTCCTCCCTGTCCTCACGCTGTTTCTCCATGCAACAGCTGCCGGCTTGCTGTTAAGGAACATAAGCTAGGCCAGTTTAGGGTTAAGGCTTAGCGTTTAGGGTTCAGATGTTTAGGGTTTAGGGGTTCAGATGTTTAGGGTTTAGGGTCTAGGGTTAGGTTGGCGTTGTAAGGAAGGCCAATCATTAACTATTTCGTGTTATTTGTTCATATTATGGTAGCTTGCATACTCCGTATATTATCCCAGTGCCCATCTTACTTTCCACTTGATTCTCGATTATGGAAACTCAAGCTATACTGGCCATAGATGATTCCTCTAACCCCTAGAGTCCTTAAATCACCCCATTCTGGTAACTTGGTTTAAGTTCCTTCCCCAGACCCTAACCCCCCAACCCTAAACCCCAAACCCTAAACCCGAAACCCTAAACAACGCCCCAATCCCTAAGCCCCCCTGAGCTCTGAGCCCTAAACAGTGTAACTCTAAGATTAGAAGTATGGGCTCCTTAGGCCGTTTAGTGGGATTCTAGGGACCCTTAAGGGTACATATAGGGTATATAGTAGGTATATAAGGAACCCAGGGCCGAATGGCCCATGCTATGGGCCCATGGTTTCAATCCTAAACCCCAAAGCCTAAACTCTAGACCCTAAACCCTAAACCCAAAATACTAAACCCTAAACCCATAGTTTCAACCTTAGAGTAACAACCTAGGCTTCGGGCTTGGTTGGATGCCAGCAGTGGCGGAGGCTTCCGGCTGACCTCCTTGAAGCACTCTTTGAATTGGGGCTTAGGGTTTAAGGTTTTTGCGGTTTAGGGTTTTGTTTTTTGTGGTTTTGGGTTCTGGGTTTTTTGTTGGATGTTTTGGGTTTCTTGGGCTTAGGGCATAGGGTTTAGGGTCGTTTTGGGTTTCTTTGGGGATTACAAAGTTAGGGTGTGGGGCTTCGAAGTATACTCAGGGTTTAGGGTTTTGTGTGCAGAGTATTTGTTAGTGTTTTTTGGGGGGTAGCGAGCATTTTGGCAACCCTAAACCCTAAGCCCTTAACAAGGGCTTAGGGTTTAGGGCTTCAGATTTTTGATGTCCACTTCCGATCCCTTGGTGGATGATGAGATCGCGGGTTGGATCCTGTGCTCAAAAGGTTCAGGGCTCCGGTTTTTAGGATTTAGGAATGTGGGCATTTTGGTTACCCCCAACCTCTGAAATTGAGAGCCTTTTATGGTCATATGATACTTATGAGATCCTTATTATGAGAGGTTGAGCCAACTAAAATCCTCTCGTTGGCTCAGGGTGGGGCTCCTCTAAGCTTCAAACTCCGTACCCACAGCTGCCAGTCAGTGCATGCCAGCGCTAAAGCGTGGACTCCTCTGGCATAGTCCGCCCAAACTCGGAAACCTGTTCATGGGGCTCCTTGAATGATGAGAGTTTAGGGTTCAGGGTTTGGGGTGTAGGGGGAGCACCTCTTTGCAGGGGAATCGCTTCCAAACGTCGATCCCGCCCCTGGCGACGCGGAGCGTTTGGCTGATGATTGCCCAGCTGTTCTGTGCACCTTTTCTGTGGTTGGTAGGGGGGGATATTGCTGCGTTCAGTTCAGATAAAGGCCGCTGGTTGAACATTCAAGTGCAAGGATTTGGGAGTTGTAGTGCAGAAGGCTGCAGAACTACCGGTCTGCTACTGTACCTCATACTTCTGAAAAGCATTTAAAGCAAAGAAGCTTCCAAACCCTATTCTGATTGTTGCGGCCCATACTTTACCATCTCTATAAACCCAATAAACACACCGTCTCCTTGTGTTTGTCCATTTCACTTCGCAGGATTCCATTTTCATCATGGCCCCTAAAATACGGCTATACAGTTCTAAGGCTAGGAGGGTTCTAAGGACCCTGGGTATATAGTCAGTATATAAGGATCCCAAGGTTAAGGGCCCATACTAGGGGCCAATGGTTTCAAACTAGGCTTTGGCTTCTTGTTTGGGCGGGTCCATGTCAGGTTAGTGTTTTTTGCGCAAGGCGTTTGTAGGCTTACCTGGAACTCAAAACTCCCGAGTTCCCGTCATAGTACCTTAAACCCCAAACCCTAGCAGTGAGGTATTGGGCTAGTATCTGGGGAATTTGGGAGGTCCAGGTAGAGTTTAGAGCTTGCTTCTGGATTTGGGTAGCTTGCTTATAGTCCCCCTTAAGTAGATAGAATATCGCTTGTGGTATATCTCTATACTCTTATGAGATTCCCATATACCCAATATTCTATCTACTTAAGGGGGACTATAGCTGGGGCTCTAGGTCTGCCAATTTTTTCCTAGGGCAAGGTCGAGGACCAGTTAGGTGGACCTTTCACCCAATAGTGACTATAAGGAAGAGTGGTGATTATATTAAGGTCTTCTGGTATTCCTATTATACCACTTTTACAGGCTGAGGGGTTTACCTAAAGAATACCTAGTACCTACTTGGGGCTAGCTGGAGCCCCGCCGGTGTGCTTGCTTGATGTTCTGGTTCGTGCTATCTATCCTGCTGCGTAGATAGAGGTCTCTTCAGTTTCAAAGTTTCTTTATGTATATACCTTAGGTCTCGGAGTATGACCTTGCAAAGTTCAAACCTCACGTATTAGGCACTAGTTGAGCTGGATTCAAGTGTTGTGGGGAGGATAAGGCGACTGTGGAGTACGGTGCAAGGTACAGCGTTTATCCACCCTAAACCCTAAAGCGCGTGGTCTCCTTGGAAAGCGTTGCCTGTCGCCGCTCGGAGGGTGAAAAGGGAAGTTAGATCAGGTCGTAATAAGTGGATTTGAGCTACACACCTTCCAAAGGGCCCTATGGGCGTCATAAGACTCTAACACAGTCCTTATCACAGGGGTTGGGGTTACCTAAATTCCGCTGATTCTTACGTCCCAGAACTTGAACCAATCATCCCAAAACCTAAGGCCCCAAATTTTAAACCAATCAACCCAACCCAAAACTGAGAACCCCGACGACCCTACAGCCACCGAAAATGGAGCGAATCCTTTGCAGTAACGCATCTGCATGGTCCACTCGGAGTTTCATGTGACCGACAAAGTAGTCAGAACTGGGACCGCAAACTTACTGCATTCCGTGTGTGGCAACTACACGAGGCCGGTTGGCGCGATTATATCAGTAGCAGTTTAGCCACAGTTACGTACAGCTAGTAATGCCCATACGTAGTAATACCCACGAACTCCAAAGTGGAGGGCCTGCCAAAGGTGCTATCGGGTCCCATTGTTGAGAATTCTTGGCGCATTCTGCATGACCCATGGGGGAATTCCAATGTAAACCCCAAAATTCAAGAGTCCTCGTTTTCGTATTAACCGTACCAGTACGACCCGGGAGTTTTCTTCAGGCCATCAGCTTTGCGCTTGGGCTTTGTTGCATGGTGTAGGCTAGACATGTTGGTGGTCTCTGTGATTCTGGTTTCTGGTTCGTGTATACACGGGTCGGGGGTCCTTATTGTGGTATATGGCGTGGTATTACGGGTCAGAGGGACAAAGTCACCCCCAAAAACTGAAGATCTTACTCTAAACCTTGTACCCCAGACTTACAAAACCTTGCGAAAGCGAGGCCCACTGCTGGATATGACGAACCACGACCCTGAGACTTAGCCTGTTGGATCGCTTCTTTTGTTTAGGGTTTAGGGTCTGGAAAAATAGCGCTGAACACATATTGGACACTGGCTTATATGGAGATCTATAGGATGTCTAATGTAAAAGCCTGCACAATGTCCAACACTATTCGCATATAATCTTTATACAACTATGTCACCATATACCACCAAACCTCGGTCTCGGACCTGGTTTCGGCCCCCGCCATAGGCTGGAGGTTTGGTTGGTTCATGATGGATTGGAGGTTTAGGGTTTAGGGTGAATGAACTGAATACTTCAGAGGCTTAAATAATCAACAAAACAAGTGTCCTACAGGCCCTTATATTTAAAATTTAGGCTACCTCAAATGGACCTCAAAGAATCTTTCTAATTTTCCAGGGTTTCAAAAACCACTCCCCCAAACATAGAGGAAGCTCAACAAAAGCCTATCATCCTTTCTGCAAAGAGGACCACATCGTTCTCTAGAGTGTCAGGTGATCCCTTCCCGCCTTCCCGTCCCCTGGATCCATAGTAAGAAAGACCCCCGATGTAGAGGTTTATCTTGCTTAGCCAATAGAAGAACTTTAGCCTTTGTGGGCTTCCTTTTTGGGTCTCTATACTAAAGTTAAAACCTTTTCAGCCCTGGCTTTTGTGGAACAGAGTACACTGTGGGGTGATTTTTTCTTACAAGGGGAGTGGGAGGTTTATTGCTCAGGGGAGGCTGTAATTTTGGTCCTTCAGGTTGGCTTATACCTGAGACGGGGCCGGTCCCCCTAAACCCTAAAACCCTCAAAAAACATCCCTAAGCGCCTAAACCTCCAAATCCCTAAGCCCAAAGCAGATCATGGACTGAACCCGGGCAAACTGGTAACGAACTTAGCGAGGAATCCCAATAAACAACACGCATAGCTCCAGGTCCCCCTGGGGGAGAGCATATAACATAAGAGAGTATGATGAGTATGTTAAGGCTTCTTTACCAAAGCAAGCCCTTTAGGCCAAGCAATGTAAGCTGCCAGCAAAGGAGACTCGGGTGCATGTTGGTCTGGTACATCGCGGGGATGCTATCCATCTGGGAATCAGCTGTGCAACCCCCGTGGCTGCAGGATGGTTTGGGTCATTATTATCCTTTCAGGAAGGTTTTTAGGAAGGAATTTATTTTATGAGCCTAGGGCTTGGTAAGCTAACTTAGGGTGAGGATCTTTGGTGCGTATTGTAGACCAGCTCCACATTCCTGCAGACTGTATGTGTTTGGGCGGGGCCGCTGAATTTGCAAGGCTGTTTGTCAAGGGCTTTCCACAAGAACAACAATGCTCCAATCCCTTCCAACTGAATGACTTGAGCCCAGGCCCACCCCTTGACATCTGATTGCCCTCATAAGGACCCGGAGCATGAACATATCCCAGATAGTATAGTACTGTAGCTTCCATTGCCTTTCCAACCCCCCATGATATCCCTACATACCCCTGAAATGAATATGTGGTAGTTTCTTAAAACAAGGGGCCCCAATATAGACCCCCCAAGTATAATTATAATCCCTATTCTACGGACCTCTGAAAAGGTATCCATATATACCTGTTGGAGCGAAGGGAGGATGGCGACAGATTTGCGCATACCTCTCATTACATGAGGGGGTTTGCAGAAATAGGGGTCCCTTTGTACGGGGTACCTATAATAAGGATTACAGTATTTGTGGGGTCCACATTGGGGCCCCCGATTTCAGGAAACGGCCAATGAGGCAAAGAATTGATTGAAATCCCTCCCCGGAAGAGTTCTAGCCACTTTATATACTTATGCAGCTTGGAAACAGTGTCCCCAAAACCCTGCTATATATACGTGCGCATAAACACAGAGACACACACACACACACACACACACACACACACACACACCCCAAGTGGCCAGTAACGGTAGCCGGCATCATCAATCCCTCGCCGAGAGTTACAAGTATGGTAGGGATCCCAGTGTCTTATACAGGCGGTTGTTCATTGTAGATTATTGCCCAAGGCCAACATAAAACATCACTATTTTGATGCAAGGCCCCGTGAGCTCAGTTGTCCTCAGGATTTTGTGGTCACGAGTACCCTCTATACCATGCTAAGGCCATACTGTCCAGAGGCCCAGTGCAAGAGTGCCACTGTGTTGGCATCGTACCACCGATCACGCTTTTTTTCATGCGTGCAAATGAAGGAGCTGAGTTCTTCAACAACTACGGGCCTCTTGGCACTGTTTTGGGCTGAAGCGCTAGCCGCTAGGATGTGAGCTTCAGGGCCAAGGGTTTTGGAAGAGACGCTTTCGCTTTTTTCTCAAGTTTCTAACCGTGCCTCCATTATGAGAAATTCCCATGTGGGGTGCAGTTTTGGGGCGAGTGTCGCAACAGATTGCTGTAGCAGCAACAGACTGCTGCAGCATGGCTGCACTCCACCGCCGACTGTGAGGCTCAGGCTCCTCCCTACGGTGGTACCTTGCATTCCTCAGACATACCCCGCATCCTGTAATAACTGTAATAAATAGTTGTATGATGGGATGCATCCCTTATAGCCACTATTACAGGGAAGGGGGGTCCTCCCAATCCATTCCCTAGCTGTACTTGTAGCATCTCGATTAGCCAGCTCCTCGGCTCCAGCGGCTCGTGTGGCTGAAGGGCAAGGTCGGTAAAGACCTGGAGCATATTCCCTAGGGTCCATGTAATCAATGGCTGGGTACTTGGCAAATTGGCACTAGGAATTGTAGGACAGGTTTGGGGTAAGTATATGATGATTGGCTACTTGGAACCTTAGGGTTAGGACCATCTGGTAAGCATGAAAGGGTGACGGGGGATTGAACTATGTTTATGGGTATCTTATGGTTTCAGTACACTTTGCATATACACTTTTCTACTACACCGTACATGTCCCAATGTCTCGCCGCAGTACACTTTCATCACACTTTTGATACGCTTTCACTACACAGTCACTTACAATTTCAGTACAGTTTCAAAAACGCTTTTCGAAATCATGGAAGCCGAGGAAACCATAAAAGACCATTAAACATTCCTGAATATATGGATGTTTTATGGTGTTGAATGGTTTTCTATGGTTTCCTGTTCATGGTTTTCCTCGATGTTCGGCTCTGGAGGCTGAAAGTCATGGAAAACCTAGAGAAAGCCATGAAGCAAATTTTCAACGGTATTTATAGATTTTCGGCTCTGGAGCCACCGAAATCATTGGAAAACCGAGGAAACCACATAAGACAATGAAAATCAGTCAAAACAGGCATAAAAAGTCATTAAAAGCATAAAGCCGTAAAACAAACATGAACTCCATAAAAGAATGCCTTGCGCATCCATACATCAAAAATGCAAGAAAAACCCCAGCATGAAAAGACAACTAAAAACATAAACCCATAGTGTAAATAAACCATGAAGAGCTGTAAAAAAAAATGGGAATCCCTAGTTCTTGTTGCAATAGACGGTTTTAACCTTAAAAAAGTTGCGCTGGTCCATTCTGACTCGAAGCTCCTATCTGATCCTTTCTATGGAAGAGGCATTGGCAATGCCCGCGTTTGTTGCTCTAGGTAAATATTTCTTGGTTCATCACCACATGCACTGAAGGTCCAGCCGCACAAACCTACAACTTCTTCTGGCGCATGGCTTCTGCGTGCCGAACAACAAGGCAGACACACTGCCGATTAAGATCCTCTCGGACGATTCCAAGAGGCCCTACAGCGCAAGCAAGCAAGATGCAATCCCTTGGTTTAGGGTTCCCTTCACATTGAGATCCTCCTATCATGCTTACTGGGGCCGGGGGTTAGTAGGGAATAAGGGAATACGTCAGACATTATGCGGGGAATCATTTTCCTTTGTCCCCAACTAACCACTAGAAAGTATAGGGGAGGGGATCGTGGTCAAGAGCTTCGGGGCTTACACCTCAGGCTTTTCCATCAAGGTGTCCCTTCGTTTTGTGGTGAGGAGTTGAAAGCTTTGAGTATCTGGAGACTCAGGCATCACTAAATATATATATATATACATATACGCAATATCAACTACATCAACAACCTATAACTGTGTATAGTGGTTGTGGTAAGATTGTAGTCCCCCTTAAGTAGATAGAATATGGGGTATATGAGGATCTTATTATAGTCTACCCAAAGCCATATTCTATCTACTTCCGGGGCACTATGCCCTAAACCCTGAACCCTAAACCCTAAATAGTAGTCTCCGTCTTCTTCTCCATTATCCCTATATAACCCCTAATAATATACCCCTAAACCCTATCTACTTAAGGGGGACTATACATCTAGGGCTTAAAACTGCAAAGTTTTGGGGTCCAAGCCTGGGCTTACTCCTCCCCCCGGAAGATTAAAGCCTCCCCCACCGCTAGGGTTCAGGGCTTAGGGTTTAAGATTTAGGGTTTAGGGTTTAAGGTTTAGGGTTTAGGGTTTAAGATTCAGGGTTTAGTGTTTAAGGTTTAGGGCTTAATGGTTAGGGTTTAGGGTTCAGGGTAAACCCCCCCACCCCCCTAATATGAAATACTCCCAATAAACTGTCTTAGGGGCTTGCGGGTGTTTGATATTAGGGGGAAAGGGGTACGAGAGACCTTGACTTGTTGTTTTAAAAGATGTCTATGGCTGTAGAACACTACAGTACCGTAATCCCCAGGACATGAGGTACTTAGGGTCGTGCAGGAAGTTGAGTTGCAATTGTAGGAGGTACAGTCCTGAGCACGAAGCCCGAGACCAGCATGTCCAGCATGGGGAGCTTCAGGAGCCCTACATCCCAAACCTGGGTTTAGGATTTAGGGTTTACAGGTTTACGTTTTAGGTTTAGGGGTTTAGGGCTTAGAGGTTTAGGGTTGGGTTACCGGGTTTACGGCTTAGGGCTGGGTACTGGGTGTAGGGTTGAGTGCTGTGCCCGCTCATCAACAGTTGGATGATGCTTACTGTTTTGAGCGTTGAACAGGACCCCTTTTATAGGCTGTTAATGGGTGGGGGCAGGACCCATCTTTAGGGTCTCTTGTAATAGTAGGCCGCAAGTAGGCCCACTGCCAACTCTTATGTAGAAGTTGCCAGTGTACAATCTTGCAGGGGGACCCCACCCGCTTTTTGGAGAACACCCCATATGGTAGTTTCCATAAAACTGGGGGACCCCAATATAGACACCAAATTATTATAGTCTTTACTATAGGGGCACCATTTTACTTGACCCTGACTTTCTCATTAACCCCGACGGGTACCCCTAACTTTCGGAAGCGTCTATATGGGCTGATCTCAAAATTGTGGGCCTGTTTCGGGTATAGACTCTACTACGGCACCTAATATTTAGGGATACCAAAACAGGGACCCTGAACCCCAAACCCTAAACCTTAAACCCTAAACCCTACGTTTGGGAAGTACCCATATAGGCCTGCGCTTCAGCGCCAAGCTTTGGAGCTCTGCGGCCTTCAGACCCTCGCCTAGGCTTTATAGAGCTTAGGTAGGAGTAGGTTTGAACATAACTAGGGTTTAGGGCTTAGGGTTTATTTAGTGAGGAGTGGGTTGTAAATAGCTTGTGGGTTGTTTATACCTGGACCCTCTGTGTACGCGAAAAAATGGCCACAAGCCAAATTTGCATGAAAAACAGCCAAGATTTTCAAAAACAACCGTTTATGAGAAAAACAGCCATTCCAAACCAAAACAGCCTTTTTCCCGTTGAGGGCGCGCTCGCCAGAGCCAAAATGGCCACATGCTTCAGGGTTCCAGCTGCATAGCGGGCTTTAACAAAAGGCTTTGTTCCTGACGCCATGACAATGGGATGTGACAGGTCAGGGTTTTCAGCTGTTTCCGCGCGGCAAGACATGAGTTCCGGAAAATTCCGCCTTTTTCCGCCTAATTCCGCCTTTTTTCCGGCCATTTCCGCCTTTTTCTTCAGGCTTTCATTGCTTGACTTCAGGTTTCCGTGTTGCTTGACCTTGGAAATTCAGTGTTACAATTTGTGGCTTCAGAGTTTTCTTGTCTCTTAATTCAAGAACATGCAGAAAATCATGCTTGCAAATATTCCCGAGCTGAATACCTTCACAAATCCTGCTTTGGCCTTTTTTCAGCAGCCTGAACCGAATTCTGCCTCACGGGCTGTTTTTGGGTCCACTTCTTGAAAAAGGCTGTTTTTATGAAACGGCTGTTTTTTCACGTCATTTCGAGGCTCCAGGTACTCTTCATCCCTTTAACGCCCCTACGCAGCTATAGACAATAGTGTTTCTCACGCCACCAAACCTACCCTAGCTCCGTGCCCGTATTTTACTTGGGAAGTACAGTTGCCGATATGGAGTGAAGTCATATGTTTCTCTGCTTATAGTAAGTATTGTACAAAAAGCATACAATTGGTCCATTACAGTCCCGAATATAGAGTGAAGCCGCTTTTTATGGTTGTCGTAAGTACCGTAGAAGAATATAATCCTACTTGGGTCAATTACCAAAAAAGCGTTGCTCACAGCCTGTGAGGAAGTTGGTACCCTGTTCTGCGATGACGATTCCTGTACGATATGCTCTTATTGGGCCTAAGTCCTAAACTAAACCGCTTGGGGTCCAGGGTCTAGAAACCCCGCAGCTCAGCTTGGACAAGAAGTAGGGTTTGGATGTATATCTAAGCTAGGTGAGAGGTAAAATTTCTAGCCCCTACTCAGAGATCCCCATATTATACGACACTTAACTTTTATGTTTGGCATCTAATTCCAGGTGCCCGAAAAATAGTAGCTTCCTGAAATAAGGGGACCCCATCACTATAGACCCCCAAATACTATAAGCCGTATTATAGGGACCTCTAAAATGGTACCCCTTAACTTGGGAAACCCCCCAAATAGAGGTCTAGGTACACTCTTAGCCTGCAAGACTTTGGGCTGATTCGTTTGGGTGATGCTCAGGATAGCTTATTTTGGGCCTATAAGGACATATAAGGATCATATTGCCTTGTTCCCTACTAAGGGTCTAGGGGCTTAGGAGTAAGATCAGTTGATTGGTTGTTAAGCGCAGTCTTTTTGACACTTGTAGGCGGGACTCCCCTAGCAAAACTGGTAGATTGGGCTCCGCGTCGGTTTCTTTTCTCGCCGGGCGAGTGGGAAAGCAAGCAACAACCAAGACCGTTCGTGTACCCTAAAATAGGGGTGTATGGTCCCTAATTGTGGGTATTCAGGGTATAACAGAGGGTACAAGGAGAGTCTAGGAATGCAAGTATGAACATGCCGGCATTATTCTTATATTGTTCCGACCGACACGAGGTTGGAATTGCCCCGGTACATTTCAAGATAGCAGAGAACCCTTCCAAAACTTGAATGGGTTAGCCTGCATAAACAACACCTACTTCGGGCCCTGAAGTCCATACGTAGTACTGTCGGCTTTGAAAGCACTACAGCAACTGTAGGATCTGCAATCCTTTCGGTATTATTTTGGCAAGCTCAGGCCGGGTGAAGTACATGAACTGACTGCGTCCGACCTTCTGCCTGCACGCATGCTGGCACTCTTGCGGATTCTATGTGTCTAGGTTGCTCTTACACCCATAGATTTCAAGCTTTTTTGGTAAAAAATCAACAACAACGCTTTACTGTAGGTCTTAAGGAATTACAGATTTAGCAGGGTTTCGGGAGGTTTTAGGATTGAGTTTTGAGAGGTTTCAATTTCAAAGTAGGTCGAACCCCCACCAAGTAATAGTAACTAGTAACTACAAAGGGTCTGCTTATATTCCTATTACAGCATTCTTAAAGGGTGGAAGTCCACCCAAATTCTATGTGAGTAGGTTTTTAGTATGCGGGTGTGCTGCTGTACCCTAAGCCCGAAACCCCAAGCCGTAAAATTGCTGTACATACAATCTGCTCCCTCTACTGCTTTTGGGTTCAGTAGGCTCGGGTTTCCCCCTATTACCCCGCCCCCTCTAGACTACCCTTCTAGGTTCCCCCCCTTGATTAAGTTTCTTAGGGAGTTTTAGGCTTAGTTAAGGCTAATTAAGGAAGTCTAGGAGGGGTAGTATAGTATAGAGGGGGGTATTCGGGGAACCCATGAAGTCATGAAGTAGGCCTGTTACTTCTGTATAGGATGACAAAAAGCAATCCAAACGTGCTCGTTTTGTTCCTTAACCCTGAGCTTCCAGTATACAACAGCCATCAACTATGGGGTTATTAGATTGGAAATCCTTACTTAGGTGTTGGGGGAACCATATACAGTCCCCATTAAGTAGATAGGATATGGCTTTGGGTATATTAAAATAAGATCCTCATATACCCCATATTCTATCTACTTGAGCGGATTATAATTCTATATAACCATTTATACGAGTCTTAATATATCCTTTTAAGGGGGGCGTATACGATGATTATAGACTTTGCACCCGAAGCCCGAAGCTCTACACCTAAACCCTCAACCCCAAACCCTAAAACCCAAATTCTTTTCCCCTATACCAGGCTAAGATATTCGGGAGACCCAGGCATGAGTGAGCGTGGCCTTCAGAGTTACGTCCCGTATCTCGGTTCTGCAGTTGTCCCCTTAAGTAGATAGAAGATGGGTTATATTGGGATAATGGAAAAGAAAATTGTACTTCTATTCAGGGTTTAGGGTTTAGGGTATAGTCCCCTCAAGTAAATAGAACATGGCTTTAGGTATACTATACTAAGATACGCATATACCCCATGTTCGATCTACTTCAGGGGGATCAGATTTCCTGGGTACTGCACCTACCGTGTATCAGTTGAGGGTTTAGGGGTTTTCGGACAGGCAACAGACTAAGGGCTAGATAGATACACTCCCCCAAACTAACATGGAAACCCAAATAGCCCTTTTTCAAAGGACAGTAGTCCTTGTAGGCACCCTTTTGGGTTTCCATGTTAGTTCCCGGGAGTGTAGATGTACGTGTGTGTTTGTATGTAAGTATCATAATGGGGCAGTGTTCAAGTCAATTCTTCCGACCATAGAGGGTTTAGGGTTGAGTGGTTCTGCAACGGATTCTTGCAGAATCCTTAACAAAGACCCCGCAAGTCATTTTTTGATCGCCAGAATTGCGACTTTTCGCGGTCCTGGTACATGCTCAGCACCATGTGCCAGCTGATTCGGCCATCTGCACATCTAACTTGGTTATGTCGCTGTTTTGAAAATGATTGTGGTGGGGGCGTGCAGTAGTGTGACATATAGGGCGAGAGTGTTACCACCCCGCCACCCAAGGCCCCCCCCCTTATCATGAAAGCCAAACAGGAAGACTACCAAAATGAGAGGATTTTGGTTACAAATTAGGACCCCGCGGCTATCATATGACTCTTATGGGGTCGGTATTCTAGGGATGGATTGGGGTCACCAAATCCCCCTGCTACCTAATCTACATCCCCATGCAAGCCTTATGAAACACAATTTCCCATTTATTTTCGATTTGCTCTGGCACCTGATCCTTCATTATTGGGCATTTCCCTAAACCCTATACCATCCCTGTACCACTTCTACACAAACCCAAACGTCTTATTAGAACCCTATATTGTCCATTTGGAAATCTATGCCCTTAGAATCATCCAAGTGTTAATGAACCCTGTCAGCCCGTCAACACCCTACATAATCTCTCCCTTCCAACTTGATATCTCAGCTTCGGGAAGTGCGCAGATTTTGTGCGAGGAGTCCCGCAGGCACGCTATTCCTCATTGGAAGTGCAGCAGCTTTCTTTTTGAAAAATGCATGGTTTCAGTGCGTTTATATAGGGTTACTCAGGCATATTGGTGAGTGTAACTATTGATGTTCCATTTGGTGGACCATCAATCTAAAGTCCTACCCTGGGCTCGCGAGTGGTAATGCACAGGCTTATAAGCAGTGTGCAGCATGTACAGCCTTATTCCGAATAACTTATTCCTGTCAACTTCTGACGATCTCACCTGAACAAAATGGTGGCTTATGAAGAACTACGGCCCAACTACCTGGCATGACCAGATATTCTGAGGTACTCAGAACCCATTCCTCACCCAACACCTTAAACCCTACCCTGAAATCTGCAAGCGAAGCGGCTGTCTTTCCAGGCATGGGTCGTCTTTGTTTGAGAAGCCGCTTGCCTTCATACTCCTTCCCCGCCCCTAATACACCCCCCTGTTTGATAGTGCAACTTCCTTTATGGACATCCATTAGATCATGCTATTGTCACGCTAGGGGAGCAAGGATTCTTTGGTTGCAGCTTCATGCTGAGGGGGGAGGGTTATTGGTATGCCTTGTGTAATTCTGTTTTGACCCGGCGTCGAAGGCCTGCTGAATTCAGTTGCGCCGGGTCTCAAGTGTTTCATTCTGCATGTTTCGCGATACTCAGTGAGTGCTACTGGGAATACAGTTTAAGCTCTGTATGCAGTCAGACGGATGTGGACAAGTCCAAGTAGGTTTGGCTTCCCGTGCCGTGTTTTGGGAGCAACTTGCAACAAGCCTCAACAAACCCCATCATTCAGATGCTTCCATCCACTGGTGAAATTGATGGCATTCGCTTGCACCCGCATTGTCGAGAACCCCCCCTCAGAGCACCCACAACATTCGGATAACATCTCTCTGTGCATGTATATTATATGTATATATAGATGTCGGTCTGTTCTTATCTGTATCTGTCTCGGCATACGTGAAACCCCCCATGCCCTCCATCTTGCACAGCACCTCGGCCACCCCTACAGCGTGTAACTTTCCCTGAGAGTCCATGTAAGTAAATGGCATCTACTTGGGACCCAAAGGGGTCCCGTAGAGGTAGTCTAGGGCCCAAGTATTTACCGCGAACCCACATGGGCCTTTTGCCTTGATTCTCCATTATGCGTGTAAACCTGCTATAATCCCTATATATATATGATATGGTATGATATGATATATGACATATGTATCCCCTATAAACCCCTTAAAAGCAACCTTAATTATCCTTACATAATCCTTATTTACACTCACATCGGCCCCTTGGGTTTGGAGACTAGGCTGAAGCTCCCAGTTCCACCAGACGACGAAAAAGAGACCAGAGATTTGGAGATGCAGGCGGGTCTTGTTTAGATGACCCGTATGGGGTTTTGGGTTTTGGATTTAGAATTTAGGTTTGTAAGCCATAAACCCCTAAACCCTAAACCCTAAACCCCTTTCAGCCCTCAGCCCTGAATTTGGGCTTCGAAGCCCAGGCAAAGGGATGATGGGGGCCCTTAATCAGGGATATGGGGTCCCTACAGCCCAGGTGTTTCTGATTTTAGGACTTTAGTCTTGTGCCGTGGCTGAGGGTCACCTCTGGGAGATTCTAAGGAAGATGCTTGTAGGCAAGCAGCGCAGAGGACGTGCAAACTGGAATGGGGAAAGCATGGGATTTAAGTTTGTCTCGCCAACAAGCTCAACAAAAAGCGGATCCAACATGCAAAGCAAAATGCCACAGCGAGCAAACAACACGAGGTCGATGAAAACAAAGGGCAACAAAATGGTTCAAGAGGAGATACGCAGGAGTCGGACAAAAAAACACAGGCGAGAGATCTGAACAAAGGAACAAAGCAAAACAGGGTCTCCTTATAATCACTATATAACACAGTAGTTTCCATTTTCTTTTCCATTATCCCTAAATAACCCCTATATAACCCTATTGTAGTAAGTGACCAAGGAGATGACAAGACTTCCTTGTATGTTAGGATATATAGGGGAAATCTTAGGGTTCTATTGGGGTTATAGGGATAGTGGAAAAGAAAATGGAGACTATTACCGTCTTGTGTTTTGCTGTTGCTTTACTTGGTTCTTTTGCGTTGCTTTTGTTTGGTCTCCTCGTTTCTCTGCTTGTTTATAACTGGTGTGTCATCTGAGGGTTTTTGATTACCTTATTTGGCGTGCAGTCTTTTTCATGTTTCATTCCTATGGTTTCCCCATTGGGTCCTTGGGTTGCCAATGTTCCTGTGTTTTTTTCCATTGTTTTGTCGCCTTTGTTGTGCTTTTGATTTGAACGTTGGTTTGCGCTCAGTTTTTGATTTGTCGCACAGTCTCGTGTAGAGTTACAGGATTTCCAATGTTAGCTTGTACCCGGTGGCGCAATCGTAGTCGTAGTGGTGCTGGATGTTGCCAGGATGTCGCAGCAGCAGAAGCAGCAGCAGCGGCGGTAGAAACTATTTGGGATTCTGCAGTGTGTTCTTGCTAGTTGGATTTTGCCCAAGCTCCATAGCATGTGAGAGGCTATGGAGGAATGTCTCCCAAGGCTTGTGTTCTTTTTGAATTTCTGAAGTTCACTGTTCTGGAGATGTTTGCAGAAACACTTCCAACATCCAAGGCCGCGTACCTGGCGGCTGATTTGGATTGGAACAGTCATTCTACACTGTAAGTAGGACCTAGCCCCCCGTGTGTATCGAGAGTCCAGGAGCGAGAAGTTAAGAGAGGCCAACACGTTGGATTATGCAAGCATCTTTGCTTCTGAGCACTGCAGATTCCATATGAGTAGTATTTTATTTGGGGATACTATGGTGCCCAATATAGAGTAAGACTATATCCTCCTTTTGGGGTATAGTATTTTACATAAGGAATATAATCTTACTGGGTTCAACCACCAAAAAAACGTTA